AATAATATATGAATGAGACAGCTCATTATTTTCTTTACTACTTCTTTCTTTTTTTATTTAGAGCAATAGAATTCTTTTTTATTTTTTTATTGTTTTTTCTTTTTTAGGCAAGGCAACCCTTGGTTGACCTCATAGATTGCAAAGACCTTGTCAGCTTTCAATCCTTTATTTTTTTATTTTTTACACCTACAGCACCTGGTCTTCCTAGGTTGTCTCCCATCCAATACTAACTAGGCCCGACTCTGCTTATCTTCTGAGGTCAGATGGGATCGGGCTTGTTCAGGGTAGCATGGCCATAGACAATAGAATTCTTTAAACATTCAAATACATACACATACGCATACACATATTCACATAAAGACAAATATACACAGATAGTTTTAGTGATGCATAACTTGGATTTAATTTTCCAGCTTCCTTTGCAGCTAGGTGTGGCCCTGTGACTATGGAATGTCAGTGGAAGTGATAAATACTAATGTCAGGTCAATGAATGCTATGCTGATTTCCCATTAATTACTTCTTACTGCCTGCTCATTGTGTAGGAAATGAGGAATATGGGAGTAGCCAGTGACATTAGGCTTAGTGAGAAAAAGCAGCAAGGCACCTAATGAGGATATCAGGGTCTTCATACTAACCTGAGTCCCTGGATGTCCTTGTGGAGCAGACTTGCCTACCTGCCCTGGAATGCTTAATTCCTCTGAATTATTTTGTGAGAGACTGAAAAAAAAAAATGTCTTATTTGAGCTGCCATATTTGGGGTCTTTTATAATAGCTTAGCCTATATGTAACCATTTCATAGACAGCTGTGGAATCTGGTATTACATATGAGACTTAAAATCAATTAATTGGATAGAATCTACTAGATAGTTGAGTTGTTAGAGTGGATCTTGGCAACTGACTACCTATCTGACCTTTCTTACCAGTTTTATTAGGTCTGTATGACTCTTGACAGCTTTTTGGTGGTCTAACCCAGGTCTAGAGTATCACACACAGATTTAATTAAATACCTCGCAATAAAAAAATCTCTAAAGTCAAAGGTTATATTTCTTTAATTATAAAAGAGTAACTTGAATTAATTTCTTTACCTTTTAGCCAAGACCCAGTTCAGATTGATTTCTTTTGACTTTTAAAAAGCCTCTTGACCCCAAATCTAATTTTCATAGACTTTTTCATTATTGTACATGTGGTATATTAGTTGTCCATACAATAGGGCACTGGTAAAAGTGGTAAACAAATAGGGATTCCTTAAAATAGGAAACATGCACTAGTTTAACAAGGCCAGGGACATCTGACTTTATCATTTGCTAGAGAAGGTCATCTACAATTTCTAAATAGAGGTAGTGTCCCAGCATTGCATTTTCTACCTTTCATAGAGTGGGAATTGTGCCTTTGAATTATTAGAGAATTAATTTCTCATGATATTTTCTCAGTGACTTACTATTAACACATTCATCTGTATGTTGATACTTCTTTCTCTTTTTTAACAACAATAGAATTATTTTTAACACTAGTGGGTCATATCATCAGTTTCAGAGGAAAATATATTTGCTTTCCTTTCCAAGCCAGAGGCTGCTATTGCAGGTTTCAAATCAGATCTCAGGTAAGACTTTCAAAGAAAGAGTTTAAAATAGAAAAAAAAAAAAGAAAATACAACTGGTATTTCATCATTCCCAAAGTTTCTGTGACCTTTAAGGGAAATGAATGGCACTGAGAGAAGTTGTAATGAACACTGGCTCCAGTGTTATGACATTTCTATTACCTCATTGTTTGATAATTTCTCTCTACCCCGCTCAAATGATGTCTGTAGTTTGCTTTTTCCATTTTTCACCTTGTGATTTATCTGGTATTATTGAGGACTCAGTCTGTTTACTGTAACAGTGTTTTTATTATCCTTGTCTAAGGATGACTTTATGATTATGAATTCCCTCTGAGTCTGCTCTAAATTCTTCGTTGCTTGCATTCTACAATATTACTCTAACTCATAATGTCTTATAGTACACTGCTGAATATATTGCTGTACAAACAGTATACAAATTTATTTCTTTCCCTCCTCAGATTTTAATTCAGCAATCAACTGTCTTGGGGAGTGGTTTACTCTGTACAGTAAATGAAGAAGATATAGATTCAATAATCAAATATGGCTGGTGAGAAAATAACAGAAACAGAACTATGACACATTCATAGCTTTCCTGCACTAGTAAACACCCAGAATTTTCATTTATTTTGTAAATGTAAAGAAAAACCTGAAGGCTATCTTAAAATAGATTGCACCATGGACACCTTAATGGGATGTGAATGTGAAGCTGTCAAGTTATGCTTACAAATAACGTTATTTCCTAGACAATTTTATGTGAGGGATTTGTACACATTTTTTTTCCTGAGCAAATATGTGGCTTAAGCCAAGATATGTCAATAAAAGTGCTAGGAAAATGTCTTACGGATATGAACACATTATCTGATAAAAATTCATATGTAGCTGTTTGCTCATGGCTGAAGATAGAGATAGGCCAAAGACCACTGAAGAGGAAACAAGTTCTATGCATTTAGATTCCTCAGCATAGGAGAACATAACTAATACACCAAAGCAACACAATACAGATTTTTAAAAAATTTGCAGTTGTGTTTATGATCACTATTCTCATAGAGATAATTTTGACTTTAAAAGAACTGCGATGTAGACATGATTGTCATTGTTCTACAGACTGGAAAAATGTTCATTCATTTCCCCTATAAACTGCAATGTGCAGAGGACTATTCCAATCCAGATTATTCTGATTTAAGAGTATTCCTGACTATCTTCCTCAACCCTAGGAGTCTGCCTAGTGCAGTGTTTAAAAGCATATCCTCTTGGGTCAGATTGCTGATCAAGGTTTAAATGTGAGCTCTGACAAACTCCTGGGCTATGTATGAGGATGAAAAAAATAATGATACCTGCCTCACAGATGTCGTGTGAAGCATTTAACACATATTAGAGAAGGAATGATGGTTTCTAGGAAATGATTGCTTTTGACAGTGATGTTAATGACTAGTAAAGCAACATATTTCTGCTTCCTTTACACCTGCTACTCATCCAGACCTATTTAAATACCATTGAAAGAATAACATTATTTTTACATTTGGGAATATTTGTGGTGCATGTAGCCAGTGTGGGTTTCCTCTGTTGGTTGGCTAAGATATTTATTGGCCCAATATTTACAAACCTCAAGGCCTATGTAACTGTTATTTAGGAATAAGCATTAATGATATATTGACCCTCCTGCCCCCCCCCACAAAAAAAGAAGAACAAAAGGAAAAAAACACTTAGTAAATATTATATATCTAGGAATAGGAGAAGTGTGATTAAAAATAATGAGTAATATGATCCTCTCTAAATTGAGAAATTAAATTTTTAAACCATGATTTTGGATCAAAGCAGTATGCAGATAATTGAAATAAGTTATTGGAAAATATTATAAAGTGAAGAGAACAAGTAATATAAAACATGAAAATAACTGTTCATTTATCTTTTTTAAAATTGTAGAGCTTTGAGAAAAACACAAAGATGATATTAAACTAATAAATAAGGTTTCATTTTTCAAATCAGGCTTAACATTTCCACATTAATCTAAGAAGAATTTAACCTGTGATTTGGTAACTATTAGAAGAAAGATAGTTACTTGAAGAGTGTCTAAGAGAATTAATAGTTGGGATGTTGGAGAACAGCACATTAATAGTGTATACTAAAGATTCTGTACTGAATTAGTGAACAAACTTATGTCAGGTTAGTCTTATTTTATGAGAAATTGCTTTATCTACACACAAAGTGGTAGCAATACTTTTTATTATTAAAATATAGAAAGTATTCACTGTTAGAAAAAATTATCTGAGTAATACATCCAAAGCGTACAAAATTCAAAAATGTGCTCAAAGTATATAAGGCAAAAAAAAAAAAAAAAAAAGGATATAAGGCAACGCATATCTTTTTTAACCCCACTCACCCATTTCAAAGGAAAAGCTCATCCCAGTTTTGATTCATTTAGTTAGATACACTTTAGCTCCTCCCCTTGCGTAATACTGAGACAGGGGTCCAAGACTTGTTTTAGTTGTGTGATATTTGCAACTGGAATCAGGATTTTTCACATCAGCATTCAGTATTAGGGAAGTCAAAATCCTCCCCTGGGGTTGTGTAAGACATGCAGGTGACCAGGATGCAGTGCCTTAGTGATTAGGCTATAGGCAATTGCCAGGGAAACTGTGTCTTTCAATATTTTAATGAAAATGGGATGCCAGCCTACAAGATATTAAACTTGAATCAGTTAACTCATTTCTCAGAGTCTTTTCATTCCTATTATTTTTTATTATAAATCTTTCCTTTCATTTTCCATCTGGTAAATTGTCAATAACCACTTCTGGGCCTGAATTCAAATATCATGAACTTTATTTGATTCCTGATGAACTCAGTAGTAAGAAATACCCCCTCAAATATATTCTTATTGTATGTCATAGATTATATTAATCACATTACTTGCCTCTTACATTACCTATATCTATTTGTACTCTATTCACTACATTGATATTTTTATACATACTTCCTTAGCAATCTCATCCATTCTCATGGCTTGAAGTTCTCTATATATTCTATTGCCTCCCAAATGTAGACCTTTAACCCAGAACTATTTTTTGAACCCCAGACTTGTATATCTAATGGCCTACTTGATTTATGCAGTTGATAATCATAGTTTCTTTCCTGAATCTGAAACTTGACTTATCAAGTTGGCCTTTTTCAAAAGAGTGGAGCTTTGTTGCCACATCAAAATAAACTCTAGAGATCTCTCAGTGTTTACAAGTCTGCTGAAGACTTATTTAGTTCCTAATTTAGTCTTAGCTCTTTTTGAATGGAAAATTTTTTTCTATTGCTATCCTAGTTTTGATTAACGAATATGGTCCATTTATTATTTCAATGCGTCATACTTATCTTTAAATTACTAGATCAATTTACATTATATTAACATTAGCAATAAATAATAAGTTTATGTTTCATGAATTTGCATGTCATTCTTGCACAGGGGCCATGCTAATCTCTGTATCATTTCAATTTTAATGTATGTGCTGCCAAAGCAGGCACAAGTTTATATTGACTTTGGTTGTGCCGTTCAATAATTCACAGAATACAGTAATACCTGCCCCAGTCTTTGTTTTCCAGATTTAAAAGTTCAGATCCTTTTATTTTCTTCCTGTAAGATGAACCTATTCTTTTCCATTCTCACTCCTAATTCAGAAAGTCTTTATTAATATTTTTACGAATTCATTATTTTCATCAGGGAATATGGTACAAATTCTCAGATGTAGACTTTTTGTTTAATAAAACAATAAACATAAAATGTTTCCTTTTGGTTTGCTTTATTGTTTTAATGAAATTTAACAATTTTTAGTTTGATTGGACTCAGCTCATTCCAAGAGAAATAAAACACAGAGAAATCTATAGCTAAGCCTCTTCAACAGTGTCTCCTGACTCACTGTTTTAAAAAATCTATATATAATATTTTATTGAGATATATTTCACATATCATACAAGTAACCCACTTAAAGGATACAATCCTATGGTTTTTATTATAGTCAGAATTATGGAATTACCACCATAGTTAAATTTAGAACATTTTTACAACCGGCACAAAAATAAATCTTATGTCCTTTCTAAATAATTTCCCATTTTCCCCAAGTTCCCCTCCTGAAGTCCTAAGTGACCACTAATCTATTTGTGTCTAATTTCCTTATCTGCAAATTTTATTTAAATGATATCGTATGTTATATTGTCTTCTGTGGCTGGTTTCTTTCATTAACATAGTGTTTTCAAGTTTCATTTATGTTTTAACATGGATTAGTACTTCATATCTTGCTATGGATCATATTCCATTATATGAATATGCAACATTTTGTTTATTCATTCTCAATCTATAGGTATTTGGCTTGTTTCCCCATTTTGGATATTATCAACAATTTCTATGAATGTTCATGTACAAGTATATACATGGATATATATTTTTATTCCTCTTTGGAATACACCGAGGAGTGAAATCATTGTCTTATAGTAACTCTCTGTTTAGCCTTTGGAAGAATTGTCAGTATTTTTCAAAGTGGTGGCATCATTTTACACTCTTT